TGGTGGGAACAGTGGTGGGGACAGTGGGGACAGTGCCACAGTGGTGGGGGCACTGGTGGGGGCAGTAGGGACGGTGGTGGAACCAGCGGGGACAGTGGTGGTGAGGACAGTGGCGCTGGGAACAACAGTGGGGGATGTGGTGCGGACGGTGGTTGGGACCGGGAGTCGTTTGCTGGCGGCGGTGAGGGGTGGGGGGGGGGGGGGGGAGGGGTTGACCTTCGGGTAGTGACCCCCCCCGTTTTCGAGGGGGTGGGGGGGGGGTTCGAACCGGTAGTGACCCCCCGTTTTTCGTGGGGAAGGGTGGGGGGTTCGAACCGGTAGTGACCCCCCCCGGTTTTCGAGGCGGAGGGGGGGGGGGAGGAGGGGGGAGGGCTTACGGGAGGGGGGTGGTTTTGCCGGGGGAGGGGAGGGGGGGGGGGGGGATCCACCAGGGGGGGGATTTTCGGAGGGGGGGGGGGGGACCCCCGGGTTCCGGAGGAAGAGGGGGGGAATTTTCCATAGTAAAGCGGCGGTGGATCACGCTCTCTCATATGTTTGCATATATGTAGTATATATATATGCAGTGCTATGCTATAACAGTTACTTGCCGCTTTTCAGATCAGGCATGCCTACTGTTCGGTAGACTCTGCTGGGTAATGGCCATGTGATGTTCATCGGCGCACACATGCCCTGGACCTGCGACAAGAAGCAGCGTTTTGACACAGCTGCGCTGCAGTCTCCGCCTACAGGTGCATCGTATTTCTGGAGTGCCCATTGCTTGCTCGAAACACACCTGAAGAAATCAGTGTCAACGCTTATGAGTTGCCGCGCGGGCTGACACGAGTCCTTCTTCTGTGGACCATTCTGCCAGTTCCATCGGAGAACGTTCGCACCCTCTACTATTCGCCAGAAGCGTGTTGGAAGTGTTGGAAACCATTGCTGCGCAGTGCAGATGTTGCCGCATACAACCAATGAGCTAGAATCTGCTATATACATTCGTCTTTTTCTCACCTCACCCCCGATCCTCACCGCCCTCGCCTGCCCCATACCCTTCCTCCCCGCCCCCCCCACCTGTCCGTCTCCCCCCCTCTTTGCATCCTTCCCGCCTCCTTCCTCACCCCCTCCCCACCATCGCCCTCCTCTCCGTCTCCCGCCCCTCTCTCTCCTCCCTCCTCGCCTCCTCGCGGCTGGTGCGATACCGAATCTTGTCGCGCCCCGTGCTTCTACAGGCCGTTCCTGCCAGTACGTGAGATTTGATCGTCGGACTCCTCTACAGCTGGACCCAGGACACAATAACATCCCTCAAAGAACATGAGACCAGCCGCCGGCCAACACACCCCAAACCAGAAGACCACTGAGGCTACCCAATGCAGAAGCACACACGACAGACACGAAGAACACAGGGGTATTCTGCCCGAGCCGACCTCGATCTTAGGAGGAGGAGGAGGAGGAGGAGGAGGAGGAGGAGGAGGAGGAGGAGGAGGAGGAGGAGGAGGAGGAGGTCCGACCGTACGCCGGGTGCCTCCTCGCTTCTCCGCCGCCACCCCGGCCGCCATCCCCTCCCCCCCCCCGCCCCCCCGCGGCGAAGGGGGTCGGCTGGCAGAGCGAGCAGCAGCTCGTGGACCTCCCCGTGATGGTGCACGGCGGGCAGTGAGCGGCGCCGCGCACGCGAGGGGGGGGAGGGCATGCGGGAGGAGGAGGAGGAGGAGGAGGAGGCGGAGGAGGAGGGGCAGGAGGAGGGGCAGGGGGAGGGGGGGGGCAGGGAGAGGGGGGAGGAGGCGGCGGCAGGAGGAGGGGGGGCAGGAGGAGAAGGGGCAGGGGGATGAGCAGGAGGGGAGGCCAAAGCCTGCGCAGGAGCCGAAGCGCTCCGCGATGCGAGCAGGAGTTTGCCTCGGACTGCGGGAAACACGCGCGCGGGCTGGCGGGCCGTCGCCCGCATGAGCGAGCGCGAACGAGGAGGAGGAGGAGCAGTAGGAGGAGGCGTACGTCTAAGTAGGGGGAGGAGGGAACGCAGTTGCATGATAAAGGGGGAGTAGGAAGAGGAGTGGGAGTGGAAGCATGGGGAGGAGTATGAGGGCGAGGTGGAGGAGGAGGAGGAGGAGGAGGAGGAGGAGGAGGAGGAGGAGGAGGACGACTTCACGGCACGTCGGGAAGGGGAGGATGCGAAGGAGGAGGAGGATGAGTAGGAGGGGGATGCCAACTTCGTGGGCATGTTCGGGAGGGGAAGGGGAGAAGAAGGAGGACGAGGGGGAGGAGAAGGATGATGCATTTGGGACATATCCGGCAGAGCAGAGGAATCCGAGGAGGTACAGAGGGAGCGAGAGAGAGAGAGAGAGAGACAGAGAAAGAGAGAGAGAGAGAGAGAGAGAGAAAGAGAGAGCGCGAGAGACCCATGATGCTGTATGGTAGTGGGGAGAAGGGGTAATGGGGATATCTGAGAGTGGCGAGGGGGAGCCGGTCGGATAGAGAGGAGACGGGGCCTGCGAGAGGGAGGAGGGGGAGGAGGAGGGAGGAGAAGGGATATGGAGAGGGGAGGATGAGGGGGAGGAGGAGGGAGTAGGGGGAGGAGGGCGGAGGGGGAGGATAAAGAGGATGTAGAGATGTAGAGGAGAGGAGGGGGGGAGAAGATCTGGGAGGAAGGGATAAGTAGGAGGGACAGACAGTCAGTCAGCAGTCAGAGAGACCAGAGAGAGAGAGAGAGAGCACGATAGCGAGTGAGAGAGAGAGAGAGAGCGTACGCGCGCAACATATGCTTATACATACGTGTACATGCATAGAGCGAGAGAGAGGGAACGCGAGCAATGGTGCGACGATGGTTCCTTTTATGTATACGCATGTACGTCTACATCCATATGCAGGTGCACATATTTGCCTTTGTCGGATGTCTGTTCTGTATGTCTGTGCTGACATGTATATTGTTTTGTATACATATACAGATGTTTGTAGATATACATCGATGGGGAAACAGAGAGATAATCAAACCCAGCGGAAGCGAGAGCGAGAGAGAAAGAGAGAGGTGAAGGTTCAAGCCATGTGCGCTCGCGCCATGTCTCACATCGTAACCTGTCCACCCACCCCTTCCCATGGTTTTCGTCTGTCCTCTCTCCGCGGACGCGTGCCGTAGCCGACCTGGAACTCCTCACACGGGCACGCCGTGTTGTGCTCAATCGGAGAAGGGGAGCTGCGTGCATCGAAGGAGGGGGAGCAGGAGAAGGGTATGGCGGGTGGGCAGGAGCACTCGCAGGAGGATGACCAGGAGGGACAAGAGGAGGATCAAGAAGGAAGCGGAGGAGGAGGAAAAGGAGGAGGAGGACGAGACGAACAACAGCAGCGGGAACTGGAGTGAGAGGAGCGGGAGGATCAGGAGGACCAGGGGAACGCGGAAGAGGGGGAATGATGGGTGTCGACAGCGATGAGGAAGGACTCGTGTCCAGAAAAGGGGACCCACGCCGGGGCGAGAGCGCCAGTCTGAGCGGCGGGGGCACAGCGCCGATCCCCAAATGCCAAATGAGGCCAGCGCTGACGCGGCAGCACCACTGATGCACCGAAAAAACGCTGCAAGTGAACAATTGATCGTTCTCTGATTCAGCGTTCTGCCGATCGGCGCGGGCCCTCGCCCTCCCCCCCCCGCCCCCCCCCCTTGGAGTAGATCTTGGCTGCTTTGGGCGCCCGTTGCAAGCAGGTAGCGCTTCCCCCCACAGGACGCACTGTTGCAAGCAGTGTCATGCAGCAGAGGTCCAGAGCCAGACCCCCTCCCTTACCCCCTCCCCGCCGCCTTGTGTCGAAACGCCGGATGGGAAAACGTTCCCAATAACCATGCGAAATCCCAAACATTGAAATCTTGTGTGTGAAAGCAATGCGCGGCGGGGGCGGGCTACTCCCCGCCCATCTTCAGGGGGAGAGGAGGGTAGTATTCACATCAAGCTAGGTGCGCTCGCGCCATATCTGACGTTATCTCCTTCCCTCCCATCCCTCTCCCTCGGGCTGTGTTTGCTTTTAGTTGCTCTGTTCACGGATGCGTGTCACAGCCGACCTGGAACTCCCCCGAAGACCCCATCGTGTCAAGCGCAATCGGACAAGGGAGCTGCGTACCTAGGAGGAGGAGGAGAAAGAGGAGGAGGAGGAGAAAGAGGGAGGAGGAGGAGGAGGAGGAGGAGGTGGTGGCGGATGAGCAGGAGGATGAACAGAGGAAACGGAGGATGGGGAAGGAGGAGACGAACCACAGCAACGGGAACTTGGGTGGAAGGACTGGGAGGAGCAGGACATCGGGAAGGCGGAGGCGGAGAAACGAGGGGGGCGGCAACGAGGACAAACAGACTCGTGTCCAGAAAGGTGGTCCTCGCCAGAACGAAGGATTGCAAAAAAAAACCGAACGAAGGATTGCAAAAAACGAAGGGTTTTTTTGCAATCCTAGTTTTTTTTGCAATCCTTCGTTTTTTTGCAATCCTTCGTACTCGTGTCCAGAAACGTGGTCCTCGCCAGGGCGAGAGCGCCGTCATTAGGAACGACGGCGTCGAAAAGCGCCGATCCGAACACCTGGCCCACGCCTGCAGCGCGAGCACCGAGCTGCAAGGGCGCCCTCGAGGGCGCGGAGTTCTTCGCGCTTCGCGGTTCGGCTCCGAGTCCTTCTCACCCTCCTCCTCCTCCTCCTCCTCCTCCTCCTCCTCCCTCCTCCTCCTCCTCCTCCTCCCCTCTCCTCCTCCCTCTCCCACCTCCTCTCCTCCTCCCTCCTCCCTCTCCCTTCCCCCTCCTCCTCCTCCTCCTCCTCCTCCTCCTCCTCCTCCTCCTCCTCCTCCTCCTCCTCCTCCTCCTCACCGGGCTTCGCGGTTCGGCTCCGAATCCTCCTCACCTTCCCCTTCTCCCCTGGGAGGCGGCGCGAGAGCGCGAAGCTGGGAGCCCCTGGATCGGAGACGCCGAACGCAATCGGACTGCAGAGGCACCCAGGAAGCCCAGCGGTCGAGAGCTGGTGCGAGAGCGATGCGCCGAGGGGGCCGGAGAGCCTGCACACGCAGAGGCGGGGGGGCGAGAGGAATGGTGCTCGCGCGGTGCAGCGGCAGAGCAGTCGCAGCTGGAGTTGGACTGGGTTCGAGGCGGCTCGGGGGTGGGCTTCGGTCGGGCCGGGCCCGGCGGGGTTGGGGTCTCCCTTACGTATTGGGGCCCGACGGGAGCACAGCGCCGATGCGAACAAGGAGGCCCACGCTGGCACGGGAGCACCGTGTTGAAGCACTGAGCGCTGAAGACAGTCAGACGGCAACACACCATGATAAGCAACAGCTTTTGAACCCGCGCGTGAAAACAAAAAAACAAGCTTGCGGAGAGGCCGAGTATCTTACGGATGGAGTCAGAGGAGAGTAGTGCTCATATTGTTTAAGTGTGGAGGGAGGGAGAGAGGACATGGGAAGGGGGAGGAGGCGGGGGTGGGCAGTGGTAACCTAGGCGCGCTCGCGCCACATACGACATTCACCCCCCTGCCACCCATTGCTCCTCATTGCGTTGAGTAGTGTTCTATCTGTTGTCTGGAGTGTCCCAGAGGGTATTGATTCCCAACTGGCAGTTTCAGGATTTGACTTAGCGCTTGCTGTGCAATCTTGCCCAAAGCCGTTCTGGTTTGTCCAGATGAGACTGTGGGGGCTTCCTGCTTGTCCAACTCGGTTGCACGCCGCCTTCCAACTCCTCCTCCTCCTCCTCCTCCTGGTCCTCTTCATCATCGGCTCAAGCGTGGCTGAGATGGTTTCTTTGTGTGGGAGGGAAAAATCATATTCATCATCATAATCCCTTCCCTCCTGTTCCTCGCGAGGAGTGAGAGGAGTGAGAGCAGGAGGAGGAGGAGGAGGAGGAGGAGGAGGCGGTGGAGGAGGAGGAGGAGGAGGAGGAGGAGGAGGAGGAGGAGTGAGGAGGAAGAGGAGGAGGATGGGTAGAAGAGGATGAGGATGAGGTGACCGGCGCTGGAGAACAAGACAAGGAACAACCAATCATACCAAATGAACCGATGTGCTGGCGACAGAGAGAACAGTGAGGAATACGATTGGAACACGCACGCTCAGAAACACAACACACGCCAGGGGAGGCGTCCGAAGAGAAACGTCCAATGGGGACCCCGCATTCTCGGTTGAACGTTGTTTTTGTGGTTGTGTATTGTTATGTTCGTTGTCGATGGGTTTCCTAAACCTTCTGCCGCCAGCAGTTTTGTTTTTCTGTGTCCTCTGACTTCCCTTGAAAACGTTAGACGAGACCTGCTGTCATGTTTTCCATTGAATACCTTTGGAGTGCAATCCAAACAATTTTCTCTGGTGATGCTTCCCAGTCGAATGCGTTTGGAGCGCTCTCCGAAGGTCTCCTGTTATGATGAGTTTCGGTGGGGAAAGATGGTTGTATTGCTTTCCAACGGATTCCTGTTGTGAGGCCTTCCAATATAATATGTTTGTAGTGTTGTCGGACGGTTTCCACGAATAAGGCTTTTCCAATGAAGAACTCCGTTTCGTATTTTCCAACGAGCACAAAACGCAGACAACGAAGACGATGTGAAGAACACGCATGCGCGCACAAGCGCGCACACACACACACACATATAGGACACCGCAGAACACGCAACACAAGGAACGAGGAAGAGGATGAACCGCGCTCGCCTGGGCGAGCCACCGCGACTGGCCGCAATCTTGAAGTAGGGTTTTATGCATTTGGGGGAGGAGGAAGAGGAGGTGGAAAATAGAGCTGGGCAGGACGAGAGGGATGCGGAAGGATCAGGATGGTGGAGAATCACGAGCAGGTTCAGGAGGAGCAGGAGGATCAGGAGGACCAGGGGAAGACGCTGGAGTCGAAGTGGGGCGGAGGGGAAACGACATCGACGAGGACGGCGCTGGGTCCAGAATGTGGTTCCCGCGCGGGGGCGAGACGGCCATCTCGAGCGACGGGGGCAACGCACCGATGTTGAAGCGTTGCCATTCCACATGTTGATCCACCTGCGCAGGTACCCGATCGGCTCCTCCGCGCCCACGGCGGTTGCTACCCAGCGCGCGGTGCCCCACGCCGCTGCCGACCAACCGAGCCCGTGGCAGCGCCGTGGCGCGTGCTGCCGCCCCTTGGGCGCGGCCTTTGGCGGCCCAGTCGTCGCGCGAGGGCCGCCGCGGAACGGGCGACCACCGCTGCGGACCCGCGTCTGGGCCTAGCTCAGCCCAGGTGGGCGAGGCCGTGGCCTCTGGACTCTGGCGCGTCTGGGCACCTGCAATGCGAGACATCCAAACAGTTAGGAGGAGACGAGGAGGAGGAGGAGGTGGAGGAGGAGGCGGAGGAGGAGGAGGAGGAGGAGGAGGAGGATAGGGGGAAGTCCGAGGTGTCGGTGTACGCGCGCGTGTCGTCTCGACTTCTCGTTCTTGGTCTTGGATGCTTGCTCGCGTGGGGACGGTGTACTGGTGCTCGAGCGTCGTCCAGATGGTGGTGCCTTGGGCTGTGCACACCCATGTGATGTTGTAGGCTGACTTTTCGCATGGGTTGTCGTGGGAGGTCGGTGGAGGTCTGGCCTGCTTTGACGTGAGTATTGCTTGAGTTCGTCGTCCCTGCGCTTGTGTTAGACGCCGTTATGTCTCTGTCGACGCTGGCGTTGGTTGAGGTCTGGTTGCCAGTGCAACACTCGCCATGTACACCTTGTGTGGTCGTGGTTTGAGGCTATTCGGCCACCCGCCATGTTCTCCTCTTGTGCAACGTCACCCAGCTGTAGATGTGATGGGGCCTCGTTAGGTATAGTGCGCGTCGTGTGGCGCGCTGAATGTATGTGTCCCAGGGTTTCATCGGATCTACGTTGGTGCTGTCAGGGTCGCCCTCGCTGTATCGGTCAGGTGTGTCAGGTGCGTCGCGCTCCAGCGGGTTGTTGTCCGAGTCGTCGCTGGTATTGTTTGCGCAGTGGTCGTTGATGGTGCTTCGTTGTCCGTGCCGACGAAAGCCGTAGTTCCATTGCTATTGTCGGGATCTTCTTGGTTCGTTGTGCGTCGTCGCGGCGTCCTGATGATCACACGAAGCATGCGTCTCTGTGTCCGTCGCTGGTGCTGCCAGAGAGACTCCGTGCATGTCCACGTCTCTGCTTCATACCGTGCCGTCGGAGTTACAGTGCTGCTGAACAGTTGGAGTCGGTGTACCAGTGGGTGCTGGTTGCTGGTCAGCTTCTGTTTGTGAGACGTGAACGCGGCCCATGCAGCTCCCGTGATGATGGTGGATTCCGTGTCCATCGGGTCGCGGAAGTTGATCGATTGGCCGAGATAGTTGAGGTTGCTTTCGTAAGTAACCGCACTCCCGCGATAGTAAAGACTCCCCCTTAACCCCTGAGTCATGAATATCCGTGGGGTACTCATATTGATAGGCGAGCAGAGCCGCGAGGCCGAACTTTATTACCACCAGGGAAAGTACGACTCGTACATTGAATCATCTGTTCTTGACTATCCTTACTTATCATACTCAGCGCCCTCTGCTATCATCATCGCCCTCTCGTAGACCCCAATTCCGGCACACCCCTCACACGGTTCGTGGCCCCATGTGGTGCCCGAGTGCGATCTTTTTTATATCGCGGTGAGCAAAGGATTCCTTCCCCTCACCGTCTTCCTCCCTCCGCGCCCCAGTTGAACGTGCTTATCGCCGTCATTGGTTCTCACGCCCAAAGAGCAACCATGAGTACTCCTACACGACGGGTGGAACACCACCAATATTCTTTTGGTGTTACACATTGAACTGATAGGTCCGAAACTGTGATTTCGTTTGAAATCTCCTCCTCCTCCTCCTCCCTCTCCTCGTCGTCCTCCTCCTTCTTTTCCTTGTCCTCCCCTCCTTCTCTTCCTGTTCTTTTTTAATGTTACTCATATTTCTTACCTTCTCTGTTTCCTCCTCCTTCTACTCCCCCTCCCTTCCTTCCTCCCTCCGCTCCCCAGTTGAACTTTGTATCGCCGTCATGTCTTATGATCCCCAAAGAGAACCACGATTATCATTTACGACCACGACAAGTAGAAAACGACAGAAATCGAGTAGACGTCCCACCCCATCCAGGGAAGGCCCCGCCAGAACCAAGAGCGAGGAGGATTTCTCAGGCTTCGTGCTCCTACATCCGTGCACCGTAGATGCCTACATGCGACTTGCTGGGAAAATCTTTTACTTGGGATGCCTCTCGGATGCCTCTTGGATGCGGTTCTGGGGGTGCCTTAGGGCCGTCTTGGGGGCCTGTGGAGCCTGATTTGGGCCTCTCGGGGCCTCTATGGAGCCTCTTGGGGCCTCTTGGGCGAAGCTTGGGGGCTTGTGGGGACATCTTGGGGCCATCGTGGGGCGGTTGGCTCAGATGACAATTCGTGTTCCCCATCTTGGGCCCCTCTTGGGGCCGTCTTGGGGGCTTCTTGGGCCTCTCTTGGAGTTTCTTGGGCTGTTTTGGGGCGTCTCTTGGGCCGTCAAGGCGGTAATGCGACGACCAGGCAAGAACCAATTGCTTTTGACGATTTGGGCCTCTTGGGCCGCCCAGCAGGGCCTCCAAGACGGCCCAAGAGTCGCCCAAGAGGGCTCCAGTACGGTCCACGGTGCCACCCGAAACCATGCTGGACGTGCACGTCCCGAACAACGCGCCCTTGGCCCCTCGAGAGGCCATGCGGGGACCCCCCGAGAGCGCGCAGAAGCGCCCCGGGGGCGCGCGAGAGCGCCCCGAACTCCGAGCTGTGGGCCCTGCAGAGGATCTGCGGAGAAAGTGCTGAGAGCTCCAAGGGCCCTGAATAGCACTCCAACTCGTGCCGCAGGGCACTTTTTGATAGACTGCGGACGCTCCGATTGCAACAACGCCGTACGGTGGGGGCGTTCGTTAAGGAATGGGCCGGGGAGGCTTCAGACCCTGGGGAATTCCTGGTCTGATGAGGTCGGCAGTGTCATCCATGGCCGATCCACGATTGGAGTTCCACTGGCTTCCAGACCCTGGATGCCTTATCTAAGGGATCCTTGTCCAATGCCCACACCGTACGCAAGACAGCTTGTGAACTCCACTTGTGTGGAAAAGCAATATGCGGGAGGGGCGGGAGCACACGGGCGCCCTGTCTGGGGCCAGAGGAGGGTAGGATTCGGATGGGGCTGCGATGGACGGGAGAAGGGGAGGGGGATGGAGAGGGAGGGGAAGGGGAGAGGCGGGAAGTCAGGCGATCGCAAACATGGATCAAGGGGGCGTGGATTAGCGACGGGTCCCGTCTCCATGGGACATCGCGGATTCCCGCCGCCGAGCGAGGCGGCACCTGCCGCATTTTGGAGAGGGCACCTCCCCCGATCCATGGATGTGGCGACCGCGCGCCAAATCCATGGATCGCTAATCCATGTCTGCGCGCCCCCGGTGAAGGGCAAGCCACAGTCGGCGGAATGGGGAGAGAAGGGGAGGGGGGGAGATCGGGGAAGGGGCAGGCTAGGTGCACTTGCGCCATCTCTGACCGACCTCGCACCCCTCCCTCCCGTCCCTATCGAGTTCTCTGAGTTCTGTTCCATTCGCAGGCTGTTGCGTCGCACACGGCCTTGATCCCCACAGTGACCCGATCGTGTTCTCCGCAGTTCGAAAAGGAGGGGCTTTGACCGCAGGAAGACTTAGGAGGAAGCGGCGGATGAGCACGAGAACGAGCAGGGGATTGGCAGGATGACGAGACAGGAGGAGAAGCTGCAACGGCAGGGGCACCAGGAATAGGAGGACCAGGGGAGGGCGGATGCGGGGCAATGAGGGGGGTGGGAGGGGGTAACCAACGCCGAACGAGTGACATCCAGAAATGTGGCCTGCGCGTTGGCGAGAGCGCAAGCCTCAACCACGGGAGCACAGCGCCGATCCTGAAACGCGGCAGGCGCAACAATGCGACCGCTTGGATTGGGGAGCAAACGCGTCAAACACCAATTCTGGACAATCCTCTGTGACAAACAAAGGCGAGATAGAAGGGCGCAAAGAAACGCAGCATCAGGGGAGATAGAGAAGAAACACTCGTATGGTATAATCGTCAAGCTCGTCGAGGGGGTGAGACGGGAGAAGGGGTCCTAGTATTCGACGTATTCTTTGTTTTCTTCAATTTGTTCTCACAGCGTGGCTCCCCGGCGATCTGGACCCCTTCCCGCGGCTAGTTTTTCTCCTGGGGCCCAGGGAGGGCCCCCCCAAGAGGCCCAAAGAGCCGAATACCTCGCATCGTGATGTCAAGTCAGAACGCGAAGACTGGGGGGAGACCGTCGATGGCGGTGAGGATTATGGGGGGGATCTCCTGTCCAGGGCCATGATATCTCCCAGATTTGATGGCCCCCTGCCCCCTCCTTCATCTGCGCACCTACGTACCTCGGGCCATGATGTGCGAACCCCCTCCTCTTCTACGCCCCCCTCTCGGACGCCGCCGAGAAGATGCTTGGGAGGAGTTCGTCGTCGTCGTCGTCGTCGCCGTTGTCGTCATCTTCGTCGTCGTCGTCGTCGGTCGTCGTCGGTGTTTGTCGTCGGCCGTTGTCGTCGTCGTCGTCGTCGCCATCGTCGTCTTCGTTGGTGTTCGTCGTCGTCGTCGTCGTCGTCGATCGTCCGTGTTCGTCGTCGGTGTTCGTCGTCGGTGTTCGTCGTCGGTGTTCGTCGTCGGTCGTCGTCGGTCGTCGTCGTCGTCGGTCGTCGTCGTCGTCGTCGTCGACAGCCGCCGCTCCTCCGCGCACTGCCCCCCGGAGGCCTGGCACGTCCTCCGCGCCGAAGGGCCCCAGGCCCGGCCGGCCTCCCCCACGGGCGGCGGCGGCATGGCCGCGCTCGGGCGCCCGGCGGTCGACCCGAGGACTCGCTGGCTGCGGCGAGCGCTGGGGTCGAGCCGGCTGGCGCACAGGAGACCTTCCGGGGCAGCGGTAGGGCCTCCTCCTCCTCCTCCTCCCTCCTCCTCCTCCTCCTCCTCCTCCTCCTCCTCCTCCTCCTCCTCCTCCTCCTCCTCCTCCTCCTCCTCCTCCTCCTCCTCCTCCTCCCTCCTCCTCCCCTCCTCCTCCTCCTCCTCCTCCTCTTCGTTCTCCTCCTCCTCCTCCTCCTCCTCCACAGGGGGGGATACAGCGACCCCCAATCGCCCATTGATCGCCGACAGGGGCCGACAGGGGGGATGTAAAACGACGCGAAGATCGGGACAAAATCGGATCGGGACAACTCGAAACCTCTGAGAATCGGCGGGCTTGGAGGACGTACTGGGCGCCGCGGCCGCTCCAGAGCGTTCCGGAACGCCCTGAGAGCGCTCCGGAACGCTCTGGAGCGATTTATCCCGATCCTAGCCCTGTTTTATTTTAGGATGGGCACAGGGGGGGACACAGCGACCCCCAATCGCCCATGGATCGCCGACAGGGGCCGGATAGTTCCAACCTGCCCAGGAAGGTGCGGACTCACTGTCAGAGGCCTATCGCCGATCCATCGGCGACGTATCGCCGATTCCAGGTCCGCGCATCCTCCGGATCCGAGCTGCCTCAGTACGCCCGCTTGGAGGCGCAACGCGTACTGTGCGTGCTGGCTCAGGGTAGTGGCCCGCGTCTCGGCGGACGTGTCGCGCCAGACGTACGTGTTTTCAGCCTGCGGGTTGAGCTTCGTGTCGGCGCGCCACGGGTGTCGCGCTGCGTAACGGGGCGGCTAAGCACAGGATGCCTCTGTACCTCCTCGGGCGGTCGCAGTCGCCGTCGCCGTCGTCGGGATGGACGGGGGCGAGCGGGTCTGTAAGTAAAGCTCGGGCGAGGCTAGGACGATGATCAATCCGTTCCAGAGCTTTCCGGAACACTCTCAGAGCGTTCCAGAACGCTCTCAGAAGGCCGCGGCGCCCGAAACATCCTCCAGAGCCGTCGGATCTCCGAGATTCTCCATGTACCCTCGCCCGATTTTATCCGCGTCCTGGCTTCGTCTTATGGGGCGAGCGGGTCAGGAAGTAGAGCGAGCGGACGGTGGGCTGGGACCTGGGCTGGGGATAGCGCTGGGGCCTGCGCTGTCAGCTCTGGCCGTTGTGCGCCCCACGCGCACCGGTCGCGGGCCCACTCCCTGCGGAGAGGCGCCCTGGCACCGGGGGCGGAGATCTTTTGTGTGATCCCCTGGCGAGAACGGGCGTGACCCGGGGGGCGGGGAGGTCGACCAACAAGCTACACATCGGTCGTCGAACGTATGTATTTTTGAGTTCCCATATTCCAAACTTATTTAAGCGCCTTGCTACTTAAATGATCGAGTGGCTTAACCTTTTCCGTCCCCCCAAAGGGGGCGGACGGAACCCAGTCTATTTTCAACGCCTTCCTACTTCATGTTTCTACGTTTTTCTTCCAACCGATGGGTAACGACACCTCCCCACCTGCGGCTCTCCATGTTGCGCTACGGCTTATCGGGGCCGTAGCGTATACCACGCAAAAGCCCGAGCCGGAATTCATGGTATATACTAAGGCTCGGGCCGTAGGTGGGGTGGTATCGTTGGTTTTCTGGTCCACCAGGGGGGGGGGGGCGGTCATGTCACGATTCCCGCCGGCGCCGTCTGGGAATGCCGAGGAACGGTTCGTTCCCAGACGGCGCCTGCGCGAATCGTGACGTGACCAGGGGGGGAGGGGTGGGGGCGGGGCCAGTCGCGGGCGTTACTGCGGATTGTGAAAAACGGACTCGTGGAAGTTCACCTCCTCCTCGGAACCACCTCAGCCCTTACAGGGCTAGAGCAGGGTGCCTCTCCCAGCGTGCTCCCTCCAGGTGGGGATGGCGCTGCGAATCCCGAGCGAGACGGCGCCCATCTCCACTTGGGGGGGCTAGATTGAAGTCGGGCCTTTCCCTCTACAGGAGGAGTATTCAGAAGCAGTAGAAAATAGTCAGTGGACGATTTGTTTTTAGTATTTGTCGTCCAAAACCTGCGTGTAGAAGACGCCCGACCTAAGGCTAGACCGTCCAGCGGGGTCAAGTTTTCCGCGGTCCAGAGGAGACCATGTGAGGGGCAGCTCCTCCTCCTCCTCCTCCTCATCCTCCTCTTCCACCTCCGCATGGTACGCTTCACCTCGTGGTGGGACAGGCGTGCAAAATTGTTCTCGAAGGTGGAAATTTGTTCACTGGCTTGTGTGTTTTGCTCCTCGTGCTGTCACGTTGTTTTTCGTCAGCGCTATCACTTTCAGCACGCGTGAGGTGGGTGGGCAGTAACATCGGTTGTTCTGGCTGTTGTGCACGGTGTGGGATGCCGAGTTGGTGTCGCCCGTCGTAATCCTCTGTCTAGATCTGCACGTGTGAGAAGCACAGGCAGTGGCAGCATGCAGGCTTCTTGTGGGCACGATACCCTGACCTCCTCTCCTACTGTGCTGGGGTTGGCGCGTGCGAGAGTGGTGAGCAGCGTTGGTGTGCTCAGTCGCTGCCTGGCGGCATGTGGGAAACGAAGTCCTGGGCCAACCGCCACGAGCTACGACGCTCGGGCCAACGCGCGCGAGCAGGGCAGACATGAGCAGCGGACTGCCGTTGCCGGTCGTGATTCGGCGGCGAGGGAGGGGGGAAGTGAGAAGGGGCGGGCCTTCCCTGAAGGCTCGGAAGTCCCCCAGCCTTCTGAGAAGCTTTCTAAGCCTTCCCCGAAGACAAGAACAACTTCTCAGAAGACGCGAGGGCTTCTGAGAAGTCCCGCCGCCTTCGGAGAAGGCCTTCTCCTTTTCACTTCCCCTCCTCGCTCGCCGCCAAGTGATGGGAAGCTGCAGCATGAGCCAACCGCCATCAGCTGCAGTGCTCGGAGCGGCATGCGCGCGAAGGGCGAGCGGTGGCAGCGGGCGCAGGCCTTGGTTGGAGCAGGGCGCTGTCTCCTCGGCGTGCGCTCGGGGCACCGTGCTGCAGAGGGCCAGCGTGCAGGGCAGTCAGTTGTGCTGCAGTCAGATGGTCTACACATTGCTCATTTCGAATCATTCGAAAATTCTTTGTTTTTTCGGGGGGGGGGGGGGCAAGGTCCTTGAATTTCTAATTGTTCCATCTTGGGCCTCTTCCTGGCCACTAGGGGGCCAGGAACAATTAGAAACGAGCGCAGTTAGAAATGAGCACGATTAGAAATGAACGACGTGTATACTGATGCTTTCGCTCGTCTCGCTTAGTGTCGTGTTGTTGTGTGGATCAAACAGGATTTGGTCTAGGGTGAGGTGCGCTCGCTGCTAATTTATGAATGCGCCCCGCCAGAAATGATTTGTCAGTTTTTATGCTCGGTGCTTGCGTGAAGGGCGCCAGAACGCGTTTTCTGTCAGGTGCCCGAACTATCGGGCGCTTCGATTTTGGACAGCTTCTCAATGTATGATTGACGAGGCTTGTCGTACATATTATTCTCTCGCTCGCCTTGGCAGGATTGCACAGGGCCGACGGCTTGACAGTATGTCTCTCGCCCAGCTGATGTTATCATTGCCCTCTGTGTTCGATGCCCGCAGTGTGCAGAGACCGGCACCGCTCGTGACCAGTGGAGGTACATGATCTGTCCTCTCAAACATGGTGAACGCTGCTTTTCTCTCCCATGGAGCTTTGCAGGTAGGGCGTACGCAGTCTGCACACAGGCACTCCTCCAGCTCGTACTCTACGGCGTGAACTTCAGGGGTGTCGACAGCTTTAGCTGTTCACATGACACCGCCATATAATTATTCCTATCCCTATTCCCAAATACCTCCTCCTCCTCCTCCTCCTCCTCCTCCTCCTCCTCCTCCTCCTCCTCCCCTCCTCTCCCTCCCTTCTACCTTCTACCCCCGCCCTCCTCCCTCCCCCTTCCTCCTCTTCCTCCCCATGAGGTAGGTAGGACGATAGTCAGAAGGAACAGGAGTGTATTGTTTCACCAGCGGGATTCCTGCACCAGGGCACAGGCAAGTGAGCGGGAGTCCTGCTCAGAGCCGGAGGCCACGACTGCTTCTCGGAGGGGCCCCGAGCAGGCACCCTGGCACCCTTGGGGGCCGAGGACGCCGGGAGAGTGCGCTCCGACTGGCTGACCCGCAAGTGGGGTCAGTCAGAGTCGCCCGAACCAAAATCAGAGCCTGAGTTCTGAATCCGCGAATTTAGACCCTCCTCCGAACGCAGTCGGGCACGCACCGCAGGCAACCGGTCGACACGATGCCTCAGATGTCGGGAGGAAGCGGAGGAAGATGAGGAAGGCAAGGAGGAGGAGAAGGAGAAGGTGGAGAAGGAGGAGGAGGAGGAGGCGTTCAGGAGAGCTATCATGCCACGAGGTCTCAGGAGGAGGAGAAAGGAGGAGGAGGAGGAAGCAGGGTGATGATGATGTTGATGATGATGATGATGATGATGATGATGATGATGATGATGATGGTGGTGGTGGTGGTGATGATGATGATGATGATGATGATGATGATGATGATGATGCTGATGCTGATGCTGATGCTGCTGATGCTGATGATGCTGATGATGCTGCTGATGATGATGATGCTGCTGCTGCTGATGATGATGATGATGATGATGATGATGATGCTGATGATGGTGATGAGGAGGAGGAGGAGGAGAAGGAGGAGAAGGAGGAGGAAGAGGAGGAAGAGGAGGAAGAGGAGGAGGAGGAGGAGGAGGAGGAGGAGGAGGAAGAGGAAGAGGAAGAGGAAGAGGGAGGAGGGAGGAGGAGGAGGAGGAGGAGGAGGAGGAGGAGGAGGAGGAGGAGGAGGACTGAGGGAGAGGAGGAGGAGGAGGAGGCGAGCGGGGTGTTCAGCGAGGGGATGGTGCCCAGCACCGCGGATGCCTCGGCTCGGGCGTTCTGCCGGGCACGCCCGCAGCCGCGAGCCCCAGGCGCCCTCTCCTCCCCCCCAGCTCCCCGCTCCTCGCCGCTCCTGCCCCCGCCCGCCATCGCCCCTCCCCTCCCCTGCCCGCGCGCTGCCCTGCCCCGCCATCCCCGAGCTGCAGGTCTGCCGTCCCGGGCCGCACCTCGGCACCGCTCGAACGTGGGCGTCTGCTTCCGCTTGTCCTCGGCGAGGACCCTCGAGGATCGTCTCGGAGCAGCTTGCGGACAGCGGGCGCGCGAGCCCGAAACCTGCACGGGGAGTGGACGCCCGTGCGGTGGCAAGGCACGGGCAGCTCGAGCGGGGAGGAGCAGGGGAGGCGCATCCTGACGCACCCAACACGCCCACACACCGCCGACCCGCCCTCCCGCCCCTCCACCTGCCCCTCTCCCACCTGCCCCTCTCACCCCCCGCATCCCGCCCTCCCTCCCTCTATCCATCCCTCCCTCCCCTTCTCCCTCTCCACTCCCGGCTGGCGCACAGGATGTGCCCCTGGCTGGAGCAGGACATCGTCCAGCTGCGGGCGCAGCTCGAGCAGCGTCGTGAGGCCTACCGCGAGGGGTGCCGCAGGTTCCGCCGCGGCGAGAACTTCAGCGCGGGCCCCGAGAGGTGGGGCGTGCGCAAGTTCGGGCAGGAGCGGGACTCCATGCGGCTGGAGGAGCGCAAGATCCGGATGCTGGAGGACCGGCTGGAGTCCCTCCGGCAGCGCTTCCGGCGGCACTGCGGCGGAGGCCGGCCCGGAGAGCTGCCGTGAGACGAGCGCGCCCCCGCCGACCGTCTGCAGGCTTCCGAGCGTCGCGAAAAAGGAAGAACGGCACCGGGCGACGAGATCTGTGCCCAGTGCGACGTCTTGATTTGTTCAGGACGGCGTCCCCGGAAGTCCCGACCCGTTCCACGGGGCCTGTTTTCCATCCTGGGTCGTTTTTGACGGTCCCGAGGCCCGGCGAGGGCCCCCCGAGGTCGAAATTGCTCGGGAGCCTCGCGACGGGGGGTCAATGCAAATGTGGGTCAGCCAGAGTGCCCGATCTTGCAGGATCCTGCAGGGCCAGGGTCGCATTGACCCGGGTTTAGGTGCAGGATTCTGCAAGATCTTGCAGGATCCTTCGCATTGACCCGGGTGTGGGTGCAGGATCTTGCATGCAGGATCTTGCAGGATTCTGCAAGGCCTGACTGACCCGGGTCTGGATCGACCCTGGACGGAAGATTCCCGAATTGGCCAAAAACCTCTGGTCCTGATTTTTTTATCGACGCGACCATGTCTGGGTAACATGTCCGCTTCCCCCGGCCAGGCCTCTCCTGGGCCTCCAGGAGCGGAGCGTGTGCGCCTCTCCGGCTAAGCCAGCAGGGGATGTGCTCCTACAGGCGGATCCTGGGCGAAAGTTTACAGAGAGGCACGACATATGCCAAAAATTAGCCAAACATACCCATCGGTCGTCGAAAGTAGGTATTTTTGGATTCCCAGATTCCAATCTACTTTCAGCGCCTTCCTACTTCAAGAGTCGAGTGGTTTTCCCTCTTCCTTCCTCTTCAGGAGGCGGGCGGAAACCCAATGTATTTCCAACGCCTTCCTACTTCATGTTTCTACCTACTTCTTCCGACCGATGGGTAATCGAACAATCGCCCCCAGGCTATTGTTTGACTATTTTTGGATCTCCCTCCTGTGGAGGGACACCCCCGACTTGAGCCAAGCCGGGAGGGCCTGTGCACGGCTCCAGGCCCCGCGATGCGGGGCCTGGCCAGGGGGGGCAGTGGCTCTGCGGCCCCCCCTGTGCCAGGCCTCCTCGGCAGGCTGCCCCCCAGGACCCCTGCCACCATGGGCAGGAGGGCCAGGGGGGGCACCCTGCCCATCGGCCGTTGAAAGCGGGTGTTCCTGGATGCCCAGGTCCCAGTCTGCTTGAACAGAGGCCTACCCATCGGCCGTCGAAAGCAGGTATACTCCTGGGCTCCCGGGCCCCAATCTGCTCCAAGAAGCGCCCTCCTACCTCAAGGATCGAGCGGCTTATGCCCTTTTCCGTCCTCCTCGTGGGGGCGCACGGACCCCAATCTGCTCTCGACGCTTTCCCGCCTCCCGGTCCTGCCCACGTCCTCCGACCGGCCGGGTGCGGCCAGTGGGGCCACCCGTGGCGAGCCGCGTGCAGCGCTGGGCGGATATCGCAGAGGCCTCCTCCCGCCGTCTGCCGGGCCTGGCGTCAGCTCGGCCGCTCTTCCCGGAGGCTCGCCCACGCTCTGGCCTCGAGGAGGAGGAGGAGGAGGAGGAGGAGGAGGAGGAGGAGGAGGAGGAGGAGGACCTCGAGGAGGAGGAGGAGGCCTTCCAGGTGGGGTCGGAGCATAGACGGGGTCGGAGGATCGCTCCACATCGCCGATGCATCGGCGACGGGGCTCGAGGTGGGGCCCGTGCTTCGCCACGCGGACGGTGCCGATGCACCGACCACGTCGCCGATGCATCGCTGGTGCATCGCCAGTGCATCGCCGATGCATCGCCGATGCGTCGGCGATGTATCGACGATGCGGCGCGGTCCTCCGACCCCATCTACTCCGACTCCTCCCTCCTCCTCCTCCCTCCTCCTCCTCCTCCTCCTCCTCCTCCTCCTCCTCCTCCTCCTCCTCCTCCTCCTCCTCCTCCTCCTCCTCCCCCTCCTCCTCCTCCTCCCCCTCCTCCTCCTCGAGGAGGCATTTACCATTGGCTGCCCAGGAGCGGTGCCTGCACGTGGCTGGCCGGCTTGGTGCTTCTGCCGTGTTGGAGCCCCTGGGCCGGCAGCCGACCCAGGGTTCTCTCCAGCGCACGCATCTCCCAGGAGGGGGAAGAACACACAGACACAATGAATCGTCGACCCCCCGGAAAGTATGGGAAAATATGGGAAGTGGGGGAGACGACAAAAACCCAGCAAATGTAGGAAAATACGGGGAACTGGGTCATTTGTGTGTATTTGTTTGCGTGTGTTGTGGGCCCCTTCAATCTCCTGGTCGCGCCCCCGACTCCGACTGCAGCTTCCCGACCTCGCCCGGCGTAAGTCTCATAAGTGCGTCGGGCCATGCTCGCCGAGGCTGCGGCGGAGGCGCCGACCAGCTGCTGGTGGCCTCGCTGGGGCGCTGGTGCCTCGTGGGGCTTGCTCTTGGGCGCGGGCTCGCTTCGCCGGGGGCTCGCTTTGCCGAAGTGCGCCTCGCCGGGTGGCTTCGCTTCGCAGGGGTTGGCCTCGCCAGGGGTTCAGTTCGTCGGGGGCTCGCTTCGCCGGGGGGGCGCCTCGTCTGGGGCTCGCGTCGCCAGTGGTTTGTCTCGCCTGCGGTTTGCTTCGCCGTAGGCCGGCCACGCGCAGAGGGGGGTAGGGGGGAGGGGGGAAGGCTTGTTAGCAGCACCCCTGCTTCTTGGAAGGTGCGGGCCTTATCCATAGATGTAGGGCCGGCGCGTTCTAAGAAGAAGCAGCCTCCATCTAAGAGGCCTCCCCTCCTCACCGTAATCCCCCTTCTGCGCGCCGCCAAGTAGGTTCGCTTCGCTGGGGTCATTTGTTTCAACCCAAGCGTTGAGGTGTCGCGCTAAGCGTGATAGCTCAACCGCACGTGAGGGCATTACTCAGGTCGTCGGTGGGCGCGTTGGGTCGGGCGGGCAGACCCTGACGGGAAGGTCGGGCGGGTGGACCCCAGCGGGGCGGCCAGGCCATGAAAGTGTGGGGCGCGTTTGAGCAGGACCATCCCTCCGGCGGACGGGTCGAGTCAGGCGGGCGGACCCTGACGGGCGTGTCGGGCGGGCGGGCCCTAACAGGGCAGGGCTAGTCGGGTGGGCAGGACGTTGAAGCGTGGGGCGCGCTCGAGTAGGAGCATCCCTGGGTCGGACGGGTCGGACGGGCGAACCTGAAAGGGCGACGCGAACTGGGCCAAGCGAGCAAGGGCGAAGCGAAGCGGACGAAGCATGACGGGCGAAGCTCGCGCAGACTCTCGGGTGCGGCCATCAGTTCTCCGCTTGTGAGTTGCGCACGGTGGTGCGCAGACTCGTCTGCGCGGCCACATGGTCCCGCCCATGCGTGTCGTATTACGTTCTAAGCACGTCTCACTAAAGTATTATCGGGCTCCACGCTGGAGTCCCGTATTATACGAGCCGCTCAGCTGGTGTTATTGGTGTAAAGTGTTCAGTCAGCCCCGAACTTTTCGTCGCACAACAGAATCCACCATCCTTGTCTGCGTAAGGACCATGCATCCGTTAGAAGGATAATTTCATCATAACTCATCTCTGTTTGTCCCAAGGTTTGTTCCCCTGCAGGAGCCTTCGCATGATTGTCCAGACATGCAACCAGCTGGAGTTGTTTTTTCTTCTAGGGAGGTTCTCCAGAATATAATTCCGACTTTGTATCCAAGCACTGCGCGGGAGGGTTTAAGGAAGTCCGTCTTTGTATCCCACGGGGAAGCATACTGCCGCTTGACGTGTTGTCCAGATGCGCACTTGGACGTGCTCTGCTGTTTTTGTTGTATCGTTTCAAGGTCATGTGCCGATCTAGCGCAGCGTGGTGTGGTGTAATGATGTGTCGTGTTGTTTATCGTCTCGCTTTGCGATGTGGTGTGCTGTTTTTTGGGGGGTGTAGAGCAGCGCAGTGCTCTGTTGCAGCAGTGCAGTGTGCAGCAGCGTAGTGTAGCGTGTGGCATGCTTGCGCGAGCAACGATGCAGCTCAATGAAACCCCATGCTAGGTGACGCCATGTGATGCCACGTGATGCAGCATGGGGTGTCGCTGAGGGTCGACATGCAATGCGAGGTGCGGCATGGCGCGGCGCGCTGCCAGCGAGAGCCGTGCGAGCGTGCGGCGTGCGCGCAGCACGACTTGCAAACGGGGGGTACCTCAGCGCAGGGCTCGAGCTAAAGGGTGTTGTTTGTCGATCTCTTGGGCAGTTTTCCTGCTGATGCCAGTCTGCAACAGAGGCAGAGCGAAGACAGAGCGAGGGACAACGACATCAAACGCGAATGCCCGCGCACGGATGATGGGTGTGATCGACCTGGCCAGCTTGAGGAGGAGGAGGATGATGATGATGCCGAGGAGGAGGAGGAGGATGGTGATGATGATGATGAGGAGGAGGAGGAGCGGAGATCCTTGCCTTGAGAAGCGCGGCCGTGCCATGCGCGAGCTCAGACGTGGGCGGTGCCGCGCGCAGAGCAAAAGCAGCCGCGAAGGCACGAAGAGCGAGGGAGCACGAGCACAGGGCGAGGACGAAGGCGGGAGGAGCAGGAAAAAACGAGGAGCGACTCGAGCACGAGGAGCACCCTCCTCCTCCTCCTCCTCCTCCCTCCTCCTCCTTCCTCCTCCTCCTCCTCCTCCTCCTCCTCCTCCTCCTCCTCCTCCTCCTCTCTCCTCCTCTCTCCTCCTCCTCTGTCATCCTCCTCAGTCCTCCTCTCTCCTCCTCCTCAGTCCTCCTCCTCCTCCGACCCGAGCGCGACTCGAGCACCGTGCCGCTCGAGCCCCGAGCGACTGCGGCGCCGCCTCGGCGCGGCCTCCGAGCGCCCCTCGGCGCCGCGGGGCGGCCGCGGGCCCCCCCCCCCCCTCCCCAGAGCCGGCGGCGGCCCGGGCGGCCGCGCCGGGGGGCTGGGCGCCGGGCTCTGGGCCTCCCAGAGGGGGTCGGAGAGCCCAGGCTTGAGTCGGGCCTGTCCCCCTACAGGAGGATTTTCGACGAAGAATAAAGCATACCCCAAACAATGATCAAAAGATAACATGCCCCGAAGAATAAAACATACCCCACAAATAATCAAAAGATAACCCCCAAAATAGTCTGGGGATTTTTTTGTTGTTGTATTTTTTCACCTTTTTGGAGCATTTTTGGGGTATTTTTTATTTTTCGTCGAA